CCAGACTTTCCATACTTCCCCACATGTTTTCTGCTTAGGCTTTGCATAGGGACCAGTTCCTTAGTGTAGTGAGCTTGTAGTTAATAATGAATGAGCAAAATAATTGTTTTCATGGTGTGGAAAATAAAATAAAAATCCCGCTTCAGGGAAGTAGTTGATACTTTCACCCTGACTAATCCTTGAAGGTTGTCACTCTTACACTATGACTTGTTTTACAGGAGAAGTTCTCTTGATGGACAGCACAAGAACTATGCAACATTTAGATCCTAATTAAGCCCAGTTTGGGGAGCTTATATGTTGCATAGCCCTTATGCTGGAGTTCTGCCAAAGGGGAGGTTTCAACTGGTGCAGACCAACAGAGTTGCGCATATCAATGCATAGGTCAGGAGGCTATCCTCATGTGCTAGAGAACATAACTGGGAATTTAGCCTATGAACATTAAATAGGCTAATAAGATATGGTATCACTTTATTGTAGTCTACATTCATGGTTTTCACTGAAACATGCAAAAATAGTATTTTTGCTTTAAATTTAAACATGCCTCACTTTACCTGCTTAACAAGGACAATTTCCTCCTTGTATTCCAAATTCTGAATCCTATGACAGGAGAGAAAAATATAATGCAGAATGGAATGACATTTCTTTATCTTGATAATCATTTGTCATTTTATTAATAATATACACACACATATTGGTTAGATGGGAGAGACAAAACACAGGCCATGTTTTCACATGAAGTGGTGTTGTATATACAAGGTTAGCTTGTGTGTCTGTGACGTTATGCACACTTCACATTATGAAAATACTGTATTACTCCTTATCACACTCCTGAAATACAGGATTGAAGGGTTTAAATGGCAATTTGTATTTTGTGAAGGTATCTCACTACTTTTTTTTTAACATTCTTTGTAGATCTACTGGTGAGACTGCAGTCTCTGCTTTTGACATTGACAAGATGTACACCCCTCTGTTTTTTGCACGAGTGAAAAGTTTTACTGCATTTTCAGAAAAGCCTCTCTAAGAAATACATCTCTCTTCTTGCAACTCTTGCATGAATAAAAGATAAGAGCAAATGAGCACTTAAGTTTTACATCTGTATATATTTGAAACTTATTTTAAAGTTCTGGGAATCTTTTTGGAAGAATATATACTGGTAATATGTTCTATTTGATTTAGGGTGGCTGGGTTTTTATTGTTTTGAAATCAAGCTTATGAATTGTTTTAAACATTTATGTTGTGAAAAGACTTTGATAACATGAAAAGTTTTTACATGTCATTTTTCATACAGAGTTATGAACCATTCTCTTTAAAATGCAAGTCTTCATCTGCCTATGCACCTTAATGATATTTCAGTCCAGGAAGAATTGTAATAGAAAAACTTACTGTACACGTGATTTAGTGTGTGCACTCGGGTATAGGCTCCAAATGTGAAATAATTTGTCCTCCATCTGTTTAAAACTGTGTGTGACTTGAGAAGACAATTTTTTTCTTTTAAAGTAAATGCGTTTTGTTTGCCTTTAAGGAATGACAATACATTAAGTGCAAACATCAGTCTTCTGAAAAGCAAATCAAGAGCAAAGAAACCTGAACAAGTGTGAAGTTCAATCATAAAATTCAGCCATAAATGCACCATATGATAATGCACCATATGATAATGCACCATAAATGTAAGCTGATCTTAATATCGGCCCATTAGAGCCTACCATCCCTGGGTGGCAGACCACTGTCAGGAGTAAGTCTGACGCAAGGGCCATATGGTGGTACAGGGAAGTCTCTGAGAGTGCATGGTTCTGCTGGGATGGTGATTGTGAACTGTTCAGATTTGATTGCGCTAATGAGAACAGGGCTCACTCTAACATGTTTGTATTTCGTTGCTAATCCTTCATCTAGCTTTGCTACAGAAACTGTAAATTCATTGGGCATTTAACTTCTGGGGCTGCTACAGATTTTTAGGTACCATGTATTGCTTATCATAAAATATATTCCTTGGATTTTCATGCAGGCACTGTATGTGACTTTGGATTTTGGTGCAGAAACTGTATGCTGCTTATGATAAACATGTACTTTGGGTTCTCAAACAACTGAAGCTTCTACATTTGTTCTCCTAATTTCATGTAAGATTTCTTTTCTTAAAGCAATTCCTTACAAATTTATCTTCTGAACAACTTATTTCAAAATACCGATTAGGAATTAAGAGGATGCAAGTACAAAAAAGTTGTTAAATGAACTTTATTTGTTCCAACATTTGTAAAGTGTACCCTCGCATGGAGCTACACTGTTTAAAAATACATCAATAAATTAACATTTTGCAAATAAATTAATTGTTATTTCTTAGTGACTTATGAGTACATTTACTTTTTTCACATAGTAAAATGTTCTGTGTTCAGTAAGGAGCCTGTACAACACACTTATACTCAGTAAGGATTACATCATGTTTCAATATGACTGAGATTTAAAAATATCAGTTGTTTCAAATCTCAGTTGTTGGTCTTCAAGACAATGAAGTTCTATTAAATACATAAAGTAAGAGTGCCTGTTATGAAATTATTCATTGTAAGGGTTATGGTAAAACCTCCGATTTTTAGATTATTTTTAGTTGGTCTGCAAATGACATCTGTATGTAAAGAAATACCAATGTTTAACTTGTATGGAAAGGGTTAAAGATGTTAAACTTTTTATCTAGGTGACATTCAGTAGTTCTCAATTTGGTCACTTAGTGATACTTCAAGCTTGATGCACATATATGCAGTGTGTAATTGTGTGTAAACTAATCTGAGTCTTTAGCCTGTACAATAAAAGCAGTCTGGGGCTTTAAAAACACTCTATCTGACATTTGCCTGTTGCTTCTGCTCTTTTGTTTGTTAGCTTTCTTTTACATGTACATTTTCAAGGTTTGGGGGGTACTTTCAGGTTTAGCACATGTAACCAGGTCCTGGTGTAGATTCAGAAGCTAATCACTCATACAGCTTTACAGCAGAGAGTGATGGATTGAATCATAGAAGCCCCTTACATTTGTTCGCTGGTGTGCTGTTAATGCCACTGACTCCCACCTTCCTGCTCTCTGGGGCTCTCCACCACCCTGTCAGCAGGCCTGATCCTGTGGTCTCTCCCCAGACAAAGCACAGAGTTGGGGTTACTACCCCCCTGGAGAGCAGCACAGACACTGAACCAGTTCAGCTCTGGGAAGACTCAGCCATAAGGGCTCAGCTCCCAAGCAACCAACTCCCAAAAGGGACTAAAATCCCAAATAAATCCGTCTTTCCTTGTGTATATGTTTTGCACAAAGAAAGCTTGTAAAGTCCATTCACTTTATCAATGAGAGAGATGCACAGTGGGTTGCTCTCCTACCCCCATCCCTTGCAGGTAACAATTATTTACAGTGGGCTGGATAAAAACACTTTTGTTTTTAAGTACAAAACTTAGGATATAAGTGGGCACAAGTGAAAACAGATAAATGTAAATTACTAAATGAACAAAAACACTTAGAAACCTGTTACTTGCAAATTCTTACCTAAACAGCTGTTCTTATCATGGGGAAAACTTCTAGTCAGAGCTGATCTTTACTTTGGCTTGGGTTTACAGCTTCTTCGTAGTTCTTTATATCCTCTTAGGCTGTGCCAAGCAATTTCATAGGTCATCTGAAGACAAAAGACTGACTGCTTCTCATTGCTTAAATAGGCTTTTCCCCCAGGGTGGGAACCCCCAATCCCATGGAAAATACCAGGTTGAAGATGGATTCCAGAACTAGGTGACATGGTCACATGCCTTTCTAGGACCAACCACAGTATGGTCTTACAGGACAAACACGTCCATCCACAGGTTGTTGGTTTGAGTAGTGAGTCATTAAGTAACTAAATTATCACTAATTGCCCTCATTAACACATCCACACTTCATATTTCTAATTTCACGTACAAAATGACACATGCACAAAAATAGGATATTCAGATTCAACGTATTGTAACGGTAACACTGATATGTTACATGACTTGTTTTGCCTAAAGCATCTTTGGCTTATGGATATGTATAACTCAGTCTTCATAAAGCAAGGTGTGGGCGTAGGGAGCTGACATACAGGTTTCCAAGTTTTTCCATACTAAGGAAACACGAGGATCTTTCTCCATCTAGCTGGGGAATGGCTGATCTTATGTCCTCCAAATCCCACTTATTAATATGGGAAGGACGAGGTGGCTTGCCAGTATCAAAATCTACTAATATTTGTTCGTATGCTAGCATTAAAAGTATATATGTGCTTCAAGTGAAGATACTGATTGTTTGGTCCCGTATTTTTTACTCACCCTACCACTAATGTTATCTGTTTATAGATTTCTGATGTCCCAAGGTGTAGCCTCCAGCTAGTAAGGCGATATGCTCTTGCATCTAGTATTTCAGCACAACTTGCCCTTAAGGTTTCATATGCTAAATAAACAATTAGGGACACTAGTAAATATAGTCAACTGTGCTGATGGGACACATGGTTTTCAAGTTTATTTGTGTATATAAGTAGCATCCAGACTGTTTATAGATTTCTGATGTCCCAAGGTGTAGCCTCCAGCTAGTAAGGCGATATGCTCTTGCATCTAGTATTTCAGCACAACTTGCCCTTAAGGTTTCATATGCTAAATAAACAATTAGGGACACTAGTAAATATAGTCAACTGTGCTGATGGGACACATGGTTTTCAAGTTTATTTGTGTATATAAGTAGCATCCAGACAGGAG